ATTGTGTGGATAGATACTTTTTCTGTATGTTTTGTGGTTACCAACAAACCTTTGTTTTTGGTGACAGGAGAGGAGGAAGCGGAGGAAGAAGGGGGAGGAGGAGGAGGAAATCAGAGAGGGGAGGGGGAAGGAAAGAGAAGAGGAGGCCTGTGGAGAAGGAACTTGGCTTGTTTACTTCCTCATGGCAAGCTGAGAGCATCCTAGTAGACAGTTAGTAAATAGATGCTAAGTAAGTGGGGGAGGAAATGACTTTTTAAAAGTTGGGTGTAAGCCAGGTGCCAGTAGCTCACACTTGTAATCCTAGCTACTCAGAAGGCTGTGATCTGAGGATCTCTGCTTGAAGCCAGCCTGGGCAAGAAAACCCCAAGAGACTCTTATGTCCAATTAAGCACTCAGAAAAAGCCAGAAGTGGTGCTCAGGTGGTAGAGCACTAGCCTTGAGCAAAAGAAGCTCAGGGGGCTGGGAAGGTGGCTCAGTGGTAGAGCGCTTGCCTTGCATGCATGAGGCCCTGGGTTTGATTCATCAGCACCACATAAGCAAAAAGAAAAAAGCCGGATGTGGTGCTGTGGCTCAAGTGGTAGGGCGCTAGCCTTGGGCTGAAGAGCTGAGGGACAGCGCCCAGGCCCAGAGTTCAGGCCCCATGACCTACAAAAAAAAAAAAAAAAAAAAGCTCAGGGACAGCGCCCAGGCCCTGAGTTCCAGCAAAAAATAAAAAACAAAAAATGGGCATAGGTGATGGGGAGGGCTGGCTCTGAGAGAAGGGGAGTAATGACACTAGAATCAGCACCGAGGACGGGAAGGGAGGAGTTGAGGAAGGGAGGAGTTGAGGAAGGGAGAGCGGGTTCCCCGCTTAGCTTTTCCTTAACAAGCCCACAAACCCTCCAGACTCATGGTGCCCAATGGGGGCGATTTCTGCCCCACATCTGGCGATGGCCGAGGACAATTCTGGTTGTCACAATTGTTGTGTATAGGGGGTAACCTCTGGTAGCTACGAGAGGCTGGGGTTCCCCAAAACATCCAACAATGGGTACAATGCCCGCTGCAACAGAAAACAATCTCATCCAAAGATTAACCAAGAGCCTTGCTCTAGCTAGGCAGGTGCTCTTCCAGCTGAACCATTCCTCTAGCCCTTTCCGCTTTAGTTACTTTTCCAGTGGAGTCCCATGCTTTGCTTTTTCCTGACTTCAGATGGAGATCTTCCTCCTGAGCATTCCCACACCACTGGGGTGGCAGATGCTCACCACCAATGCCCCCGCATTGTAGGACTTGAACACAGGGCCTGGGCGCTGTCCCTGAGCTTTTATGCTCAAGGTTAGTGCTCTACTACTTTGAGTCACAGCGCCACTTCCGGTTTTCAGGTTGTTTATTGGGGATAAGAGTCTCGTGGACTTTCTTGCCCAGGCTGGCTTTGAATTGCAATCCTCAGATCTCAGCCTTCTTAGTAGCCAGGATTGATTAGAGGCATGAGCCACCAGTGCCCAGCAGGGCATTACTTTTTGCCTGAGCTGGCCTTGAACTTTGATCTTGCTGGGATTACAAGCATGGAAAATTTGTCATATTCTGGGGGTCAGCAGAGGAACATTGGGAGAGAGGGGGGGTGGACACTGTTAAAAAAGGAATGTACTCAGTACCTGATTTATGTAACTGTAACCCCTCTGTACATCATCTTTACAATAATATTTTTTAAAAAATTAAAAAAATATAAAGTCTATTTGTCTATATTCTCTAACTTTTCTTTTGCTAGTGCTGGGGCTTGAACTCTGGGCCTGGGTGATGTCCCTGAGCTTCTTCTGCTTAATGTTAGCACTCTACCACGAGAGCCACAGCATCACTTCTAGCTTCTCCTGAGTATTTATTGGAGAGAAAAGTCTCACAGACTTTCCTGCCTGGGCTGGCTTTGAACTGCAGTTAGATCTCAGCCTTAGATCTTAACCTCCGGAGTAGCTAGTTACAGGTGTAAGCCACTGGTACCTGGTTTTCTCTAACTTTTCTATAATGAATAGATGTTCTCCTATAGTTCTTAGTATTAAAAACAAACTTCCAACACTCTGAACTCTAAGCCTCTGAGTGTCATCCCTGTGTTATATGGGCTTGGCCTTGGCTTTCTTTTCTGGACTGGACTGGTGTGTAATGTGTGTGTGTGTGTGTGTGTGTGTGTGTGTGTGTGTGTGTGTGTGTGTAGGAGCCAGCTCTCCTCCCCTGCACACATCCTCTTGGCTTGCTGGGTACCTTCCTGGTGTTTGGGGGTTCATTCACTCTTCCCTTGTGAGGCTCCCCCTCATCTGAGAGCCATTCAGGAAGTTACCCTGATGCCCACTGGCCCTCCTATGTTGGGATGTGTGCCTGTCCCTCTGCTACCTGGACTCGTGTGTGGCCTTCTTCTTGAAACTTATGAAATATTGCTGGGACATTCTGAAGCTCCTTCTGCACTGTGTCCCCACTGCAGACTCCATACATGCTGAAAGGAAGACAGAGAGGAAGCAAAGAAGGGAAGGGGGAGGGGGAAAAGGGAAGGAAGGAAAGAAGAGAGAGGGAGGGTGAGAAGAAGGGAGGGATGGAGGAGGGAATAAAGAAAGGAAAGAAGAAGGAAAGGAGGAGGGAAGAGAGGGAGGAAGAGAGGATATTTGGGATAAAGGACCCTGCTCATTGCTACCATGAAACTGTCTGAGGACCTGCAAAGCAGGCCTGGCCCTTCCCACCCAGGGTTGGGCCTCGGCCTGGCCTTCAGATGCATGATGGCAGCCTGGGTTTATGGATGAATGTATGTCAGTTAAAGAAATCTGGAGAGCAACACGCAAAGGACAATAGATTGATGGAAGTGAGTGGACCTGCTGGCCACTCATTGGGATCAAGGATGTGTAGTTTCACATGTGGGCACAGGGGGGCGACATGTGGTTTCCAATCTCTGGTTGGATCTTGTGTTTGCACAAACAGTAAACTACGGAGGTGTAAGGGTGATAAAGAGACCCAGGCTTGAGGCCTTTTTTCTTCTTCCTTTTTCTTCTTTATTTTGAGATAGAGGTTCACTCTGTAGCCCAGGCTGACCTGGAACTCACAATACTGCTGCTGCCTCCTGCCTACCAGCCACTCCAGCTTGAGGCCATTTCCTAAACCTCGAGTATTCAGGCCTGGCCCATCTTTATTCTTCATCCTGTTTGCTATGGCTCCTCAGATTCCCAGATCTCAGCCTCCTTAGTAGCTAGGATTGTAGGTGTGAGCCACCAGCACCTGGCATGCCATGTATTTTTTTCTTTAATTATGTTTTGTGTACACATGCATGTACATATGTGTCACACACACACATGTGCCAGGGCAGGAAGAAAGGACAGCTTTGCTGGAATCACTGCGGTGTGGTGTGTGTGTGTGTGTGTGTGTGTGTGTGTGTGTGTGTGTGTGAACTCTATGGGAGGAGGTAATATTTTGTAATAATTGCATTTGTGTTTGTTGCTATGGTTTGCTTTGCTATATTTTATCCTTACTGCAAATGTATGAAGAGTTGTAGAGCCAGGCTTGGTAGCTCATGCCTGTAATCCTGGCTACTCAGGAGGCTGAGATCTGAGGATTGAGGTTTGAAGCCAGCCTGGGCAGGAAAGTCCATGAGACTCTTATATTTATGAGCCAGCAAAAAGCCAGAAGTAGAGGTGTAGCTCAAGTGGTAGAACACTAGCCTTGAGTGAATAAGCTAAGGAGTAGCTCCCAGGTCTGAGTTCAAATCTCAGTACTAGCACTGGCGCGCGCATGTGTGCGCACATGCACACACACACACACACACACACACAGTTAAAAGAAAACCATTTACAAACTGAAAGGGTAGTAAATCTAAGTTTAAAGCCACTGCTGGCTGCCACAGTTCCCAGACAGCCTGGGTTTTTATTTGCTTCCAAGTTAAAAATCTCTACTCAAGAAAACCTCTGAGTTTCCCCCTTGGGGACTGAGCAGCTGTGACCAACCCCTTCTTTCCCAGCCATGACACCTCCCAGGCTGTCTCCAATCCCTGGGCCCTCTAAGCTCCTCTGTGTTTGCCTGCCATCAATGCCAGGCGCTTCTTGTACTATGGGGTTGAGTGAATGTAGCAGGCACCACTTAAGAAACTTGTTTATTCTGTCTTAGAAGATGATCTGAACTTTATTTCTCTCTGTTACATTTAAAAAAAAATAAGTGGGGCGCTGGTAGCTCACGCCTGTCATCCTCGCTACTCAGGAGGCTGAGATCTGAGGATCACCATTCAAAGCCAGCCCGAGCAGGAACATCCATAAAACTCTTATCTCCAATGAACCACAAGAAAACTGGAAGTGGCTCTGTGCCTCAATTGGTAGAGTGCTAGCCTTGAGCTGAAGAGCTGAGGGATAGTGCCTAGGCCCAGAGTTCAAGCCCCACAAATGACAAAAATAAAATAAAACAAACCAAAGAGTCTGGAGGAACTTGCTGAAAGATACTGGAACCATGGGCCGGGCTGTTCTCTCTAGACCTGTTTCCTAATGGGTGACAACGCTGGATGGAAGCTGATACTTTGTGTCCCCCTGGGGATCTCCTGTCCCTCTGCATGCTCTGGGCTCTCCTCTCTGTTCTCTTCCTCCCCCAGCCATTGCAGAGGGGGGCTGAGATTTACAGGGCTCTCTGCAGGGCCTCTGTAAGCCACGTCATTTCCTGGAGCCACATGGAATGAGCTGGAATGAAGCAGAGACAAAGAGAAACCAGCTTCCTGCACCAGTCACCTGTGGCTCACGCCTGTCATCAGCTACTCAGGAGGCTGAGGTCTGAGGATTGTGGTTTGAAGCCAACTGGGGCAAAAAAAGTCTGTGAGATTCTTATCTCCAACAGTACTCAGAAAAAGTGGAAGTGGCGCTGTGGCTCAAGCGGTAGAGCGCTAGCCTTGAGCCAAACAAGCTCAGGGACAGCACTCAGGCGCTGAATTCAAGCCCTATGACTGACCAAAAAAAAAAAAAAAGGAGAAAGAAAGAAAGGAAGGAAGGAAGGAAGGAAGGAAGGAAGGGAGAAAGAAAGAAAGAAAGAAAGGAAGGAAGGAAGGAAGGAAGGAAGGAAGGAAGGAAGGAAGGAAGGAAGGAAGGAGCTTCCTGCTGTCCCTGTGAAGCCTCAGTGACGCCCAGGAGAAGCAGCCTATGGGGAGCCCAGGAGCCCGGGAGGGGAGAGGGCTAAGAGGGTGGTGGGGGACGCCTAGGGGTTTTCCCCGGCTCCTGTATCATGCTGTACTCTGCTTCCTCCTGGGGTCTCTTGGTGTTTGAGTCCTGCTTCTCAGCGTTAAACACCACTGAGCTATAGTGAAGATCTTCTGTGGTGGGGCAAGCCTGTGGGGAGAGAGCTCAGGCTCAGGGAGGGGTGAACAAGGGAGGGGGTGGGTAGGCTTCATCACGGGAGGCCCCAGCCTCTGGGCCTCGCGCTCTTTCCAGGACTGGGCTCTGCTCTCCTGCCCACCCAGCTCCTCCTCTCCACCGGGGCTGGGGTGGGGGTGTTCCTGGGGCCCCCAGGGTGGACCGTCCAGGTCCATTCTACAAGGAAACTGAGGCCTGGAGAGGGTTAGAGCACTGGTGGGGCTCCCCCAAGTGCCTTGGGGCTCCCTTGATGGTATGTCCTGACAATGTTACAACGGGGTCCCCTTTCTGTGGACTCGGAAGTGGCTGTGGGGACCCTGGCCCTCTAGGAAGAGCGCAGCTGGCAGACGGGCCCCTGTGGGGTTGTAGCTCTGTGGTTAGATCCTGGTGCTGGGGACACAGGCTGGGCCTCATCTCCAAGGGGCCTGGTGGAGGAGAGATCTGCCTCCATCCTCTTCCCCGGGTGAGTCACCACGCCAGCTCAGGCTGGTCCCAGAGCCCTAGAGGACTGGAGGCCGTGTGACCCGAGGAAAGATGGACCATCCAGGAACTAGCCACAGCCAGGGACTCTGAGACCCTGGGGGTAAAAGTGGGGTGCTGGGCTCCCAGCCAACAGGCAAGGTGACAGGTCAGGCAGAGGGGACATGGTGCTCTGGATCCCGAGAGGAGCGGGTCAAGACGCCCCAGTTCCCTTATGTGGTGTAGACACAGCCATCTGGGGTAAATGGTACCAGAATAGACAGATTAGATAAGGAGATGAGTCACTTTTCTAGAACATTCCAGCAATGGTGTCAGTCACCCAGCCTCCACCAGCAACCTCCATGGCATCCCTCAGCACGTCTGAGAAGAGCTTTTCTTCTTGTAGGCTGGGGTTGGGACTTGGAGGATTGGAGGGCCCCGGCCCCCCACCCCAATACCCCCCATCTGAATGCGTCTCTCCCCAGCCTTGCTTGAATCTCCCGCATAGACCCCATCCCATCATCCCATTTTAAGTGACCATGTGGGCGACGTGTTGGCCACACAGGGTCCTGGGCAGAAATCTAAGAAGCAGAGTAGAGAGCAGCAACCTGGGGAGCAACATAGAAGGTCACGACCCTTCACCTTGGAGCTGTGGTATGTATATTCATAATACATGCTGTCTGACCTGGCCGTTCCCATAATCCCAACCTCCAGCCACAATGACCCCAAGCTCTTCTCCGAGCCTCCACCCTGGCCTCTCTGTGAGGCCGGCCTGGACCAGGCCCTGCCTCCCCTTTGCCCATTGCCACCTCCCGCGCGGCTTCCTTCCCACCGGTCGGGGCCCTCGTGCCAGGGCCGGGCTCACTCACCACGGTGCTGTATTCTACCTCCGCCGGCCTGGGTGGCGCTGGCCCTTCCCGCAGGGCCCATGTGTGCAGCTGTAGATTGGCGTACTGGGGCTCGCTCGGCTCAGCAGCCTACGGTGGGGTGGACAGGAGGTGTCCTGGGGTCCCTGCCCCAGCCCCCCTCTCCCCCTGCTTCTCTGCAGACAGCTCCAACGCCCCCCTCCCTGAGATCCGGGTGCCAGCTCACCCTTCCCACGGGGCCACCACCCTCAGTCCTCTCCAGGCAGCGGGTGCTCCCCAGTGAGGTCAGCTCCTGTGTCCCTCCCTCTTCACTCGCCCCACAGGGGGACAGAGCAGATGGCCAGAACCCCACACAGGCCCCAGGGACCAGTGCTTTCTCTGCCCTGACCACATGCCCCTCCCCACAGCTACCTTCACCTCCACAGGCTCATGGGAATGTCCGACCACGCCCCCACCCATCGCCAGGCTCCCCTCCCTGGGGAACCGCCTACCACAGCCCCCCTTACCTGCCTGAGGTTCTGTGACAGATCTGGAGGTTCACGAGCTAAGAGACAAGAGAAGAGGGAGGTGGACCCTGGAGCAAAGGAACACAAGCAGAAGCAGGAACCCTTATGCGCTCCCCTCCCCCCCCTCTCAGAAAGGCTCTTCTCTGAAGACCTCAGCCATAGTCTTTAGAACATTTACTAGCAGGAGAAAAGACTGTATATGAAGTGTAAAATTATAGGTTTAAAAGAGAAATTATGGCTGGGTGCCAGGGGCTCATGCCTGTAATCTTAACTACTCAGAAGGCTGAGTTCTGGTGGTTTATTGGAGATAAGCGTCTCACGGACTTTCCTGCCTGGCCTGGCTTTGAACCGCCAGAAAACCAGAAGTGCAGCTGGGGCTCAAAGTGACACAGCACTCGCCTTGAGCGAAAAAGCCAAGTGAAGAGTGTGAGGCCCTGAGTTCAAGCCTCAGTACCTGCACACACACACACACACACACACACACACACACACACACACACACACACACACACACACACACACAGAGGCTACTTAGGATCCAGAGCCTTTCTAGGTGAACGGCCCTCCAAGGGTCCCCTGGAACTCCCAGAGCCGAGGCTGGGAAACCCCATGTGCGGGCGGGGCCCATTTCCACGTGAGGACTGAACCTCCTGAGGAAAGGCTTCAGGGGACACAGCAGGGGCAGACCCATGGGAAGAGGAAGTGATTCTCTTTCCACACCAGTGCTGAGGTCAGCTGAGGCTGACCTTTCTGGCAAGCCACCCCAAAAGCCGCCAGGGGTGAGCGTGCGGCTGCGTCCCCTGATCCCTGTCTCCGCAGCTGTGGAGTACGTGATGTGCAAGCCCATCTTTGCTGCCCAGCCTCATTGTTAGCCACGGTGGACAAAGATTTCCCTGAGAGGCCAGGTGTGGTGGTGCATGCCTGTAACACCAGCACTTGAGGAGGAATTCAGAATTGGATACCAGCCTGGGCTACAAAGCAAGGCCTTGTCTCAATGAAATAAAATAGTAAAATAAAGTCATTTACCCTGGGAATCCGTTATAATGGATCCTTAAACAACTGCAAGAGATGGGTGCTGGTGACTCACGCCTGTAATCCTAGTTACTCAGGAGGCTGAGATCTGAGGATAGTGGCTCAAAGCCAGCCCAGGCAGGAAAGTATGTGAGACTCAAATATCCAATCAACCACCAAAAAACTGGAAGTGAAATTGTGGCTCAAACGGTAGAACACCAGTTTTGAGCGAATAAAGCAAAAGGACAGTTCCCAGACCTTGAATTCGAGTCCCAATACTGGCACAACAAAACAAGACAACAAAATACCCTGCACTTCTTAGGCTAGTCCACAAATAAACTAAAAGCAGGATAAAAATTCTGACATGGCTGCCTCCATTTCTTCCTGGATCTCTCTTCTCTTGTCACTGGACCCTGGGCACATCCAGAGTCATAGATAAGCCAGGCACAGATGGCTCACGCCTGTAATCCTAGCTACTCAGGGGGCTGAGATCTAAGGATTGTGGTTCAGAGCCAGACTGGACAGGAAAGTCCGTGAGACTCTTATCTCCAATGAACCACCAGAAAACCAGAAGTGGTGCTTTGGCTCAAGTAGTAGAGCACTAACCTTGAGCTGAAGGGCACAGGGACAGTGCCCAGGCCCAGAGTTCATGCCCCACGACACACACACACACACACACACACACACACACACACACAACTGATAGAGAACATCTTCATAACAAAAGGGCCAAAATTACCCCCCTCCCTGATGAACAGCAGAATACCCCCTAAAACGAAGGCAGCACCTCTGATGAAGAGGCTGAACCCAGATCAGGGGATCAGATCACTTCCAGTGATGGCAGCTGTAACACCTTCCTGGGACCCCTGGCAGAGACAGAGCTGAGATTATGGTCAGCCAGAGCACCCTCAGCCATTTTATCTAGCAGCGGCACCCTGACGTTCGAATGCTCAGTGTACCAACGTCATCTGTCTGCACCCAATTCAGCTTTGCCTTCCCACATCCAGTGCGTTGCCTGCGAAGCACATCTGCTTCGTTGTTCTTATTGTTGTCGTCGTTGTTTTTCAATCCTGGGGATGGAACTCAGAGCCTTACACTTGCAAGACATGTGCTCTGTCACTTGAGCCATGCTGCAGCCCCGAAATACAGCTGTTCTTTTTGCTTTACTTGCTGAGTAAATCTGCCTTGCCCTGTCTCTTTACCTGGAAATCTTCTATTGCATTGGGGTACAAGAATCTAAAGGGCTGAGCTGAGAATCCCCCTCCTCTGCTGGGGTCCCCAGAATCCTCAAATCTCCACCCAAAGGCTCAATCCAGGGAGAAAGACTGAGGCTCCCTGGAGATGGCTGGGAACTGCCTGCCAAGCAGAGGAGGCTAAATCTCCACCTGTCCTGTCTCTGTAATAATCTAGCATGTTCTTCTAGCATGTAGTTCTCTCTCTCTCTCTCTCTCTCTTTCTGTGTTGGTACTAATGCACACACACAATAACAGAAGTTTGAACTCGGTCTCCATCGGCACTGTCCCTTAGATTTTTTGGCTCAAGGCTGGTGCTCTACCACTTAAGTCTCAGCTCCTCTTCTAGCTTTTGGGTGGTTAATTGGAGGTCAGAGTCTCACAGACTTTCCTGCCCAGGCTGTCTTCAAGCCATGAATGTCAGATCTCAGCTTCTGAGTAGCTAGGATTACAGGCATGAACCACCAGTGTACAGCTGGTACGGAGCTATTAAACCACACCCTGATGAGCAGATATTGCCCTCAAACCTTCCGGAGTCACGGCCAGGACCTGAAGGAGTGCACACAGGTTTGCCAGGGAAGTGGTAATGACAGCCAAGCCACAGAGAGCCCACCGGGAGATGCCACAGGAGCTGGCCACACCCCGGGGAGGTCCTGGGGAAGGAAATCTGGAGTTCGGAAGGGATGAGCCAGGGAGAGGCAAGGGATGGCACTCCAGCTTTAGACCAAACACAGAAGGAAAAGCAACTGTAAGAAGGGGCTTAAAGTGGGGCACCGGTGACTCACGCCTGTAATCCTAGCTACTCGGGAGGCTGAGATCTGAGGATCTCAGGTCAAACCCAGCCAGGGAAGGAAAATCCATGAGACTCTTAAATTAACTTTAAAAAAAATCCAGAAGTGGGTCATGTGGTAGAGCACTAGCCTTGACCACAAAAGCTCAGGGACAACACCCAGTCCCTGAGTTTGAGCCCCAGGACTGGCACCAACATGGAAAAATAAAAAAGACCACATGGTAGAGGCCCGACTGCCCTACAGGGCAGCATTTTGGGAGCGTGGAGGTCATGTAAAGGCTTTAAACCAGAAGAAGCTGGCCGAGAGTCAGCATCTGCACATCCCCAGCAAACATGGCTCCTTTAGACCACCACCTTCCAGCCTGGAGAGGGGCCCCATCGGGTTATGTGGTCTGGGTGGTCTGAGGTTTGTATTCACTGACGAAGACCCTGCGGTTAGGTTGTGCCCCTGTGGGGTGGTGGGAGCAGGGAGAGAGCAAACTCACCTTTGACCCGTCTCTGAAGCATCCTGCAGACCAGCAGCGCAGTGGCCACAAACAGAAGCAGCAGGAGCATCAGCAAGGAGAGCAGTGTGAGGAGTCCCCAGGACACCAGCCTCCCTGACTTCCAGCTCTTTTGGTGCTGGAGCTAGCACCAGGGGCCTTGCGCATGCTGAGCAAGCGCTCGACCACTGAGCCACATCCCAGCCCTCTCATGAGCTTTCAAATAGATATATGCAGTCAGACGCTTACAACACACACACACACACACACACACACACACACACACACACCACAGAACTGCACAAACTCCAGGCTGACCTCTGCCTCTCCTGGGCACCTGCACAATAAACTCTGGAAGTGGAATATTGGAGGCCTGAATTTTTCCTTGTCTGACATTAACCCTGAGACTCTGGCTAGGACTCTGATTGGGTTGAGATGAAGGGCTTGAGCTATGTGACTGGCCTCTGTCCCAGGTCCTACAAGTATATTTGCTTGTGGGTCACCCTTGAGTAAACTGAGAAGACCAGGGATACGACCTGGGTTTTGACTAGCCCCGCCTCCAGGGAAAGGAAAGGGACTGAATGTCAGGATGAATGGCAGTCACATGTTAATGATTCAACCAATCACAGTCCAGGTAGTAAAACCCCAACCAAGGAGGACCGGTGGCTTCTAGTGGGTCAGTGCTTGGAGATTCCAGGATCCCTGACCCCATCACCCAGGTACAGGATCTAGCCCTCACCATGGGTCTCTTTCTTAAGTCGATCTGGATCATTTTAGCCTTCGTGATGAAACGGTGGGAGTACTGAGGCTAATGAATGACTCAACCCACGGCAACTGGGGTGGGGTAGCCTTAGGGCAGCTGGAACTTCCTAAGGGGTTTGGGGGTGGTCGTGGCTCTGGATTGTGGGGTCTGTGGCAGCACCAGGGTGAAATTGCGGTGGCCAGTGGTGTCAGAATGGGGAGTATCCGAACCCCAGAAATGGCTCATAACCATTTTCTCAACAGTCAACAGATGTTGTCAGAATATCTGTGGGGGGGCGGAAGGTGGCTCAGTGGTAGAGCGCTTGCCTTGCATGCCTGAGGCCCTGGCTTCGATTCCTCAGCACCACATAAGCAAAAAGAAAAAAGCCGGAAGTGGCACTGTGGCTCAAGTGGTAGAGCACTAGCCTTGAGCTGAAGAGCTGAGGGACAGAGCCCAGGCCCAGAGTTCAGGCCCCTCGACCGGACCCAAAACAAACAAACAAAACAAAACAATATCTGTGGGCACAATATAAGTGAGCACCCCCCCTACCCTGCCTGTCCCCAAATTAGGAAGTCCTTCTTAGAGAAAGAACCCAAGATTTCAGGGTTTGGGTAAAACTGAACCCAACCCTCCATCATGAAGTCATGCAGCTGGAAAATTGCTTTACCCCTCTGCGCCTCACTTTACTTATCTGAGAACCAGGTACTCTGGACATTCAGGGTTGTGTGAGATCAGGGACTTGGGGCCTTACCATGGGCCCTGGCCCTTGTGGTTATTCCCCTGGCTGCTTGATCCTTGGGTAGGACGGTTTTCGGCTGGGCTGGTGGGTGGCACAGTAGGAGCTCTGGTTGTGGTTGTTGAGGTCTTGGCTACTGGTGTTGTTACTGGAAGCAAAAATCACCAATCAGACTCGGGCATCTCCTCCATTCCCTCATCACTGGCAAGGCCTTTTGGGTTTGATTTCATACTCAGTACTCGCTCAGAATGGAGCAGGATGGAAACCTGGGCCAGAGCCACCCCAGGACCCTCCTGGCCCCAGTGATTATTTCCCAAAGGGCTTTAGGTACTGCCCCACCCCCAACAGGCGCACCTGTGTCCTGCTCCTGAAGGCAGGTCCTGCCCAGAGCCCCAGTCACCTCCCCATCCTCCCCAGCCCCAGCCGCACTCCACTGGACATGATTATCTAACTGCAAATCTGACTTGTCACTTGTCCAAGCCCGCTCTGCACAAAGCACCGTCACCACCATCGGGTCCCTGCCTGTCCCTGTCTCTCTCTGTTTCTCTCTCTGTCTCTTTGTCTCTGTCTCTATCTCTTTCTCTGTCTCTATTTCTTCTCTCTCTTTCCCCCTCTCTCCCTCTCTCTCTCCCCACCCTCTCTCCCTCCCTTCCCCCCTCTACTTCTCTTTCTCCTCCTCCCCTACCCCCCAGAATGGCTCCCAGGCTCTGATCTGATTCCTGCCCCAGCTTCTCCTACCTGAGTTTCTGTGGCAGCCCCCGGGCTGGTAGGAGGGGGGCTCATATGGGAGCACAGACACCGAAACCAGGAAGGAGTCATCCGGTCCTTCATGCCAGGGTATGTGAATCCCACACCAGTAAGAGCCTGAGTCCTCCAGAGAGAGGTTCTTGAAGGTCACAGTGAAGGTGAGGTTCTCAGGATGGTCACTGATGGACATTCTGCCTCTGCTCACTTCTCTCTCTGAGTCTTTGGTCTTCACAGTATTCTCACATCGTCCTAGCACACTTGAGCTTCTGCACCAGTATTTGTTATATGTCTTGTATTTCTCCTCATACCAGCACTGCAGGCTCAGGGATCCACCCTGGGTGCCTGTCACTCTGCTGGGGCCTCTCAGAAGACAGCAGCCTGGAAAACACAAGCCCCAGTTCTGGGCCTTCACAGATGGGCGGGGTCAGAGCCTCCAAGCCAGATCACCCCTTTGCACCACTCCAGCAACCCAAGAGGTTGACCCAGCAGTGTCTCCCCTCAGCCTCAGTCCCCCAGAGTCCTCACCCTGCTTTCACACATGCTACCCCTCCCCCAGCAGCCACCACAAGCCCATCTGGTCCCACTGAGGGAGAGGAGCCAGACCCAAGCAGGGAGGCCTTTTGTTTTGTTGTGCAGATCTGGCTGCATGAACTCTGGTCCTCAGCACTGCCCCTGAGCTTCTTTTCCTCAAGGTGAGTGCTCTACCACTTGAGACACAGCACCACTGCCAGCTTTTTTGAGTAGTTTATTGGAGAAAAGAGTCTCATGAACTTTCCTGCCAGGACTGGCTTCAAACCATGATCCTCAGATCTCAGCCTCCTGAATAGCTAAGATTACAGGTGTGAGCCACAGACACCTGAGCAGGGTGGCTTTTTTGACAAGGGCAATGCACACAATTGATTAGGGTGTGGGTCAAAACAGTTCTGAGTGCAGGGCTCAGTGACAATATCCCTCATTCACCCAGACTCAACTCAGCTGGCCCAGATCTGCTCACTTCTTTCTTTCTTTCTTTCTTTCTTTCTTTCTTTCTTTCTTTCTTTCTTTCTTTCTTTCTTTCTTTCTTTCTTTCTTTCCCTCCCTCCCTTCTTCCCTCCCTCCCTTCCTTCCTTCCTTCCTTCCTTTCTTCCCTCCTCCATCCCTCCCTCCCTCTCTCATTCTCTCTCCTTTCTCTCTCTCTTCTTTCTTTCTTTCTTGCTCTTTCTTTTTTCCTTCCTTCCTTTTAAAGAAATATTGTGTGTGTGTGTGCGTGTGGGTGTGTACGTGTGTGTGCGTGTGTGTGTGTGTGTGTGTGTGTGTGTGAGATTTCTGGGGCCTAAGTGTTCTCCATGACCTTTTTTTGTTCAAGGCAGATGGCTCTACCACTTGAGCCATAGCTTCACTTTTGGCTTTTCTGGTGGTTAATTGCAGATAAGAGTCTCATGGACTTTCCTGTCTGGGCTGGCTTTGAAGCATGATTCTCAGATCTTAAACTCCTGAATTGCTAGGATTATAGGCATGAGCCACTAGCCCCCAGCTTAAGCTCATTTCTGATTGCCAATATTATGTCTGCCATTTTCTCAACCAGTTCTCAGATACAAAGCTGGGAGAGTGCTGACATGAAGCTAATGCTGCCCCTGATCAGGGAGCTTGGAGCTGGCCTTGGGATGGCCACACGCCCGGCTGAGGCATGGCTGTGTGTCTGTCCTCCTGGGACCCTGGAGAGGCCCTGTCATCAGAAATGGTGGGGTCCACTCTTTACCTAGGTTGGAATTCTTTCATTTTATTAACCTGGAGTGGGGCAATACTGAGGTTTGAACTCAGGGCCTCTCATTTGCAAGGCAGATACTCTACCACTTAAACCACAATTACAGCCCTTTGGCTTAGCTTCTTTCTTTTTTTAGATTTTAAAAAATTGTTATCCTAAAGGTGATGTATAGAGGGGTTACCATTACATAAGTCAGGTAATAAGTACATTTCCTTTTGGACAATGTCACCCCTTCCTTCTCTCCCAGTTTTTCCCTCCTGTACCTGCTGCTTTGGTCATTTTTGACATAGTTTATTCTTACATTTGTGCCCAGTCATCCAGTGATCCTCTTATTTATACTTCTCCTGACAGGAAAACACAACCATATCCAGCTTTTCACTGTTTGAGATGAGGTCTCAATAACTTTTGACTGCCAGGCGCTCATGCGTATAATCCTGGCTACTCAGGAGGCTGAGATCTGAGGATTGAGGTTCAAAGCCAGTCTAGGCAGGGAAATCTGTGAGACTGTTATCTCCAATGAACCACCAAAAAGCCGGAAGTGGAGCTATAATTACAGTGGTAGAGCACCAGCCTTGAACAAAAGAGAGTCAAACAAGAGCAAGAATCTCTGAGTTCAAGCCCCAGTACTGGCACACATGAACATGGGATACAGTGGGGAGAAAGGCTGGCTTCCTAGCACTAAGAAATTCTGGGACTTAGTCCAACAAGACAGCAGGACTGTTTGAGGAGTCTGTGGTAAGGAGGACTCAGAGACCAATCTGAGGGAGGAGGCTTTGTCCTTGATGGGACTCCTCCACCCTCTGGCTTCATGAAAGTCTCTCCCCGACTGGCCCTGCTACCTGTTCCCTTCCCCAGCCCCATCTCCCCTCCACGCAGGACTCCTGTCCCTCAACTGCAGCCTGGAGTTGCCCTGGCTGGAGCTGCTTAGCTGAGACTGAAACCTTCTTTCCCTGTCCCCACCCTTCCTCTTACACCCCAAATCTGGTGACCCACAGGCACCTTCCCAAAACACATAGCACCTAGGTGTCTGTTCCTGGCCACTCTTCTCCCAGGCTGGGGGGACCTGGATACCTTCCCCTCCCCCCACACCTCTCCATGGTCCCCACTCTGCCCTTCCCCACACCGGGGTACATCCAAAGTCAGAGGCACCCTGGCCCTTCCCTCCCAGGAGTGAGGCCTGCAGCCAGTCCCTCCCATATGGTGGACACAGGGCACCAGGGTGTGTGGACAGAGGGGTCCAGGCTTGAATGCCTCACGTGATATCTCCCTACAGCCTCCCCCCCTCCTGCCCTCCTTCCATCTCCTACCCCCCCCACCCCCAGGATGAAGACCCCTCACCTGGGAGCCAGAGAAGCAGCAGATTCAAAGGCAGCCACACAGCCAGGGCCCAAGGGCTCATTTTTCCCCCTGAAGCCACCGGCTGCCACGCCAAGACAATGGTGGACCAGGGGCCCCTCTGGGCTGGGCCAGTCCCCAGGCCTCCAACTTCTGCTTTTTCTCCTGGCTGTTTCCTTTAGGGCTTCTTTCAGCTCTGTTCCTGAGGCTCGTGAGAAAATGGAGGAAGCTGAGTGGGCTCAGGCAGCTCCAGGCTGATAAGAGGGTGGGAGAGGACCCCAGGGTGGTGGGCAGGACCCAGCGGTGCCCCAGAGCTGAGAACACCCTTCTGGGGTTTCCTCTCTCCCCCCTTCCCAAATCTCACAGATCTGCTCCCCCATGTTCAAGACATCCTCTGGACAGGAGTGCAGGATTTCCTTCTGGTTGGCACCCAGCTTCCCTGTGGTCAGCATGGCAGCCCTGTAGGAGGAAGAAGTGGAGCCTGGGTGGAGCTCACCCTGCAGGGCCCACCATTCAGTGCTCACTATGAGGTCTCCAGCAGAGCTCCCCTCCCAGGAGCCCCAGCTCTAGGTCTGTTCCCTCCAAATTAGCACAGTGGCCTCAGGATCTATCAGTGTTCCTGGTCTTGGATATATGGCTTCTCTTTGGCTGGAAGGTCCTCAGGAAGGCTCTGACCTTCCCTCTGGTGTTGTACCCAGTGGACCTACGCAAGGACTCATCGGACCTCAGCCTTTTTAGAATAATTAATTAATTAATTTTTGTGCCAGGACTGCCTTCAGACCTCCTTACATCTCAGCCTTCTGAGTTGCTAGGATTACTGGTGTGAGCCACCAGCATCTTCCTCCTCCAATGCTTTGTTTAAAACTATAGCTTGTAGGACTGGGAAGGTGGCTCAATGGTAGAGTGCTTGCCTTGCATGCATGGGGCCCTGGGTTTGATTCCTCAGCACCATATAAGCAAAAAGAAAAAAGTCAGAAGTGGCACTGTGGCTCACGTGGTAGAGACCTTGCCTTGAGCTGAAGAGCTGAGAGACACCTCCCAGGCCCAGAGTTCAAGCCCCACGACTGACCAAAAAACAAAACGAAACAAAACAAACAAACAAACAAAAACTATAGCTTGTATCTGTGCCCCAGGAGATTGGCGGCTGAGGAACTGAAGTACTGCCTACCAATGACTCCCATGCCACCCAGCAAGTCCTTTTCTGCCCTTTGCCAGGTCTTTTTATATGGTTTGTAGGGGCATGGGCAGATGTGACAGTGGAAGCCCAGGAGTTTTGACCTGGCATCTAAAACGCTAGTTTCATGTTCACGGGGCTGTCTTTGTAAGATGGGGTTGCTGTTATGGCCTGCATGTGGGTACGGGTGGAGTCTATGTGGACAAGACAGCAGAGTCCCTACAACATCCATGTGTCCAGCTCGGTGCTGGTGGCTTATACCTGTATCTACTCCAGAGTCTGAGAGCTGAGGATTAAGGTTTGAAGCCAGGCCAATTAGGAAAGTCTATGAGACTCTTATCACTCCTAAAGTACCAGAAAAAAAAGTCAGAAGTGGAGCTGTGATTCAAGTAGTAGAAGAGTGCTAGCTTTGAGCAAAAGAAGCTCAGAGACTGTGCCCATGCTCTGAGTCCAAGCCCAGTATGGGGGTGCACATACAAACACACACATGCCCATGCACATGCACACACACACACACACACACACACACACACACACACAATTAGGTCTATAGGTATGAGGAGAATGCTTAGCAAATCACCTATGGGATATAATCCTCCTCTTAGGACCAGGGAGAGGCACTGAATGATTGAAAGAGAAGCTTTCCCGTGTCAGTCCCTGCCACGCCCCTCCTTCAACCCACCTGCCAACAGACCCAAAAGACACAGATGACCATGTGGCAAGGGGTGCCAGGATATTGAGGAAGTGATGCCTTCCTGTCCCTCCCTGATGCTCATCACTAACGGGAATTTGTAGGAAGGATGACCAAGCCAAGGACCCAAGGGCTGAGCCCCTTTCCCAGGGGCTTCCTGCACCAGCCACAAAACCCCAGACCTAGGAAGAGGCTCTTTCCAATATGGATGCAGGACTAGAGGCCCGTGGGAAGGATGCTGATACCAGTGGCTATTGAGTCCTGAAAAGTGGAGGGTCTCCACAAAAGATGTGGGGTGTAGATGAACTGGGGGCTCCTGCATGGGTTTCAAGGTCCAAGGTGGTAAAGTCAGGGTCACCTCCTGTCTGCACAGGTACCTACCCCTCTCTTTCTTCTCTGAGCCCCCAAACCTCTCAGGGACAGCCTTAGCCCATGGGCCACTCCAATGTACCTCAAAATCTGAGCCCCACCTGCTGAGAAGCAGGTCTGTGCCCCATGGTAGAAAGAAAAACTTGACAGCTGAGTTAGCCCATGAGGGCAGGGAGAGTGCCTGAGCATGCCCCCTGCAGACCAGTGCTTCAATTGGGGCTAAACCTATACAACTTGTGATTAAGACCCCAAGAAGCAAACAGAGCCAGATGGGTAAAACAAGTTGTCAGGAGAGGGGCGATAGCGCCTGTCTGAGGACTGGAAGTTTCTGGTTTCTCTTCTCCAGGAGATGGGTGAGACTAGCTACAGTGGTCTGACCTAGCCCATGTTGCCTGCCTGCTTCTCTGCTGGACCCATGCTTCCTCCTTGCCCACTCCTGGGGAATCAAACCCAGCCTTGAGGTCCCTTGAGGGGCTCAGACACTTGGATGTTCAATGTGACCCTCAGTCTCTAGGGCACCATCCACACTGGCTTGTCATGGTGCTCATAACAGACCTCTTCCAGGTAAAAATGTAAGACTCTAGGAAATCAGGAACCACTGGAAACCCCACAGCCTTAGGCTCCCCCACAGAATGGGAGAAAGGAGCCCAGAGCCTAGTGTAGCTCTCAGGTCACAGAAATGCAGCTGGGATCTAAGAACTAGAAAGGCCTCCCAGTCCTCTTACAAACCCTACCCAGCAGGGAGAACCAAGGTGTAGTAGTAACATCATGTAAGCCTGTCAAATGTAACTAGCTGAACACTTAAGATGGGTACAATATCCCTATATCACTTTATACCTTGGTGAAAAATAGGTTCAGGGAGAGGGAGTAAGCTGATGGGTGGCACAATCAGAAGAAGGAACAATAGCAGCATGGATCACTGATCTCTCTCTCTCTCTCTCTCACACACACACACACACACACACACACACAATTATAGACAAATTCCTTTGATAAACATAGATGCAAATTCTTGCAAAGTGAATTCAACAACACATTGAAAAGATCATATACCATAATCAAGTTGGTTTGGTTTTATTCCAGGAAGGCAAGGATGGTTCAACATAAACAGCAGGTTAATAAACTAAAGAACCAGTCACATGATCATCATCTCATAGATGAAGAAAAAGCCTTTGACAAAATCTAATACTTGACCTAGGTACTGCTGACTCATACCTGTAATCCTAGCTACTGAGGAGGCTGAACTCTGAAGATCAAGATTCAAAGCCAACCAGGACATACAAATACAGGAGACTCTTATCTCCAGTTAACTAACAAAAAGCCAGAAGTGGCTCAACTGGTAGGAAACCAGCCTTGAATGAAACAGCAAGAGCAGGAGGCTCAGAGTTCAAACCTCAGTACCAACACACACACACACACACACATACACACACACGTACACCCCTCTAGGGAAGGGGAGGGGGAGATCTGATCTCCAAGGCAGTCTAAGTGGTCAGTACCTCATGAAGGTGGTTGCTGAAAGTTGGGCTCTGGGGTCTCTGTTTCCTGACTGATAGTGGACAAAAACCAGAGGGTTGTTTTTTTTTTTATCAGATGGTCAGCAGATCAAAAAGATTGCAACCAACTGGGAACTGTCCACTCACTGGATCTCTATGTGGGCAGGCTGCTGCTCCACTTCTTGCCGCTGCTGAGCTGCCCCAGAAGAGGGCCGGGGTGGGGCTACAGGTGTAAAGATGTAGAAAACACCTGCTCACTTCACCTGGAGGGTTGAGAAGACAAAGGCAGGGAGGGAAGCAAATTTCAAGCTTTCCTACCACCTTAAGGTTTGGTTCTTCAGCAAGCTCTGGGTTGGGGACTAGCACCCCAAGACTCCCAGCTAGTGAGAACCCTTTCTGAGCACTTGTTTTAGCCACAGGGGAGGGGGCCCAAGGATGTGACTCTAAACCCTTCCCAGGATTCCTGCTCTTAGGAGAGGAGGAGGCTCACCTTTCCTCATGGTGCATCCAGGGGTCAGGGTGTGTGAGCACGAGTTGGGGTGGTGCTAAATAGATGAAACAGAAATGGCCCTGTGGTGAAGGGGGCTCTAGGGTGGAGCGGAAAGAGCACAGGCCGAATGCCACTTCCTAGTCAGGCTAACCACATCTCTTTAGGAGAATACTGCCAAGGCTCACGCCATACATATTAGAACTTTTTGGTGTGTTGGGTGTTGGGGGGCTTCCTGTGATGCCACACCTAAGAGGCTGAGACAGGAAGATTTTTAAGTCTGAGGTCAGCCTGTGATACAGAGAGGAAAAAAATAACAAGTGAACAAACAAAAATAAACCTTTGGAAAGTTTTTGAGAGCCACACATGCCTGAGCCATGAGGAGTTTCCCTACCCAAGTGCACCCCCTGCTTTTCACTGGTGGCTGGGTGGAGCCCCAGCTTCTTTATTTACAAATCAGAATAATGATCATAGCACCATTCTACAGTATCCACATTCCAGGAAGGTTGAGGGTGTCAGGTCCACAGCCTTTATATGTCTCTGCCATGTCTTAAAATCTACCATGTCCAGTGCTGCAAGGTGAACAGGCTCCTAGAAGGGGGATAACACTATATGAGAAAGAAAGAAAGGAAGGAAAGATGAAGGAAGGAAGGAAGCAAGCAAGCAAGGAAGGAAGGAAAAAGAAACAGAGAGAAAGAAAATAAAAAAAGAAGAAAGGAAGGAAACAAGAAACATAGAGAAAGAAAGAATAAAGAGAGAGAAACAAAGAAGAAAGAAACAAAGAAAGGAAGGACAATCTCTGGAGTGAAAGGGGGAAATCAGAGTGCACTCCTCTCAGAGGACAAAGGACCCTAGATCTTTTCCCAAGTAGCTTTTTTATTATGCAGTATGATATAGTAGGAAAGGTTGTGAGCTTTGTAAATAACTAGCAAGGAGTACCTGCGTCTCTTCTCTCACACAAGGCAGGTATCATTGTCATCGAAGAACAACCCTGAGCTGAACAAGCTCTTAAGCTGACATCCTTGAGGACACTAGCTATCTTCTTCTCTGGGGGTTGGGAGAAGGGGTCAAGGACAGAGGCCAGGGCCACGGTTATCCTGTGCATGCCTCCGCACTGTGCCTAAGTAACCCTTGCCAATTTAGGCATCCATGGCATGGTACCTTTGCATATAGCCAAGGATGCCTTCTGCTTCCATGTTGGGTAGCTGTACCTGAAATCTCTGATGCCAACGGTGTCTTTGATATAGGGGCTAAGGGTGATTTAAGCATGTATTTGCTTGATATGGAAGGTAGCTTCCCAGATCAGAAGATGCAAAGCTTAGATTAAAAAGGAACCACCAGTGTGATTCCCAGACCTGGTTAAAAAAAAGACTCTGGAGTGAGAATCCTAGCTGAGCCAGGCAGATACTGTGTGATATTGCCTTTCATGGGAGCAAATAACGGGTTACTATCATTGCTAAAATAATTGTATTGAAGGACAGAGTGTCTGTGATAATGAAGATGAGTTGAGTGAACAAACATTTATGTATTTCATGAATGAAGGAGGCCATGGGGCATCAATTGCATTTCATTGCATTGATTGCACATGGAAAGCTCCTACTGCAAAAGGGGGCAAGGCCAGGTGAGGAGAATTACTCACCCGGCAGATGGGGCCAAGAAGTGATGGTCTGGATCCGATGGTGGTGTGCTGTGATGGAGAGAAATGCACGTGTGTGAGTGATGCTCTTCTACTTTCAGTGGATTGCGGAGATCGACTCTCTGTAATGCGAAGTCATGACCAATATGGTGACTCATGCAGCAAATCCAGAAGCGTGGCCTCCTGCCACAGTGGAGAGGAGCATGGCCTTGCTCTGCTCCTAGCTTCAGGAGAGCTGATGGAGCTTCACTCAGCAGCCTGTGCTATTGCTAGTACCAACGCATAGCTGCAAGGCACAAGTGTAGCTTGAATTGAAGCATTGGAGGAGCCACTTAACTACTGCCAACTTTGCTAACTTTTAGGATCACACTTATCTGTGCTCCCGTGGAAACTATTTGAGTATTTGTTTTCTATGGATTTTCTTGTTTTGTTTCATTTGCTTTTCCATCTTTTGTTGTTGTTGGTGGTGGTGGTGGGACTGGGATTTGAACTCAGGACCTTTCACTTGCTAGGGCAGGCACTCTACCACTTTGGCCTCATCTTCAGTCCATGCCTTGTTTGCTAAGCACATTTATTTGATTTTCCAACATGCTGCTAAAGCATCTGCCTCAGCTGCTGAGCAAATATTGGTAGATTGTATAATGGCAAAATAAGCCAGAAGTATTCGTGTGGGGATCTGTTTCAAAAATGAAGTCTCTTAATCTGAGAGTGAGTGGCTCATGCCTGCAATCCTGGCTACTCAGGAGGCTGAGATGTGAGAGCTGTAGTTTGAAGCTAGCATGGGTAGGAAAATCCATGAGACTCTTATCTCCAATTAACCAGCAAAGAGCTGGAAATAGAGCTATAGCTCAAGTGGTAGAGTGCTCACCTTAGGAAAAACGAACAAACAAACAAAAATACCTCAATGACAGTGCCTAGGACCTGTGTTCAAAAGAGAGAAGGAAGGAAGGAAGGGGAAGGCAGGAAGGAAGGAAATGGCTGTAAGGACTGGAGGTAGTTCAGTGGTGGATATTGGCTTAGAACAATCTGTGAAACCTTGAGTTTGATCCCTAGAGCTGCGGGGGGGGGGGATGCACAATTTGTTTACATAAACCACAAATATAAACAAAATAAAAAATATACCCTGGGTAAACACGTATATAGCCTGTATTTAGAAAAACCTTTGAGGCAAATAGCATGAAGATCATGGAGCTCAGGGCTGGTTCTGTCTGCAGAAGGCAGGAAGCAGGCACAGGAAATCAGAAAGGGGTTTGTTAGTATTGGCCACATTCTATTATTTAACCTGATAAAAACACATGGGTGTGGAGGAGACTTATTGTTTTTTTTTTTTTTTTGGTCCAGTCGTGGGCCTGAACTCTGGGCCTGGGCGCTGTCCCTCAGCTCTTCAGCTCAAGGCTAGTGCTCTACCACTTGAGTCACAGCGCCACTTCCGGCTTTTTTTCTTTTTGCTTATGTGGTGCTGAGGAATCAAACTCACGGCCTCAGGCATGCAAGGCAAGCACTCTACCACTGAGCCACCTTCCCAGCCCCGAGACTTATTGTTTTAAAAGAGATGTTATTAGCCGGGCGCTGGTGGCTCACGCCTGTAATCCTAGCTACTCAGGAGGCTGAGATCTGAGGATCTTGGTTCAAAGCCAGCCCGGGCAGGAGAGACCGTGAGACTCCTATCTCCAATAAACCACCAGAAAACTGGAAGTGGCGCTATAGCTCAAGTGGTAGAGCGCTCGCCTTGAGCTGAAGAGCTGAGGGACAGCACCCAGGCCCAGAGTTCAAGCCCACGACCGACAAAAAAAAAAAAAAAAGAGATGTTATTTATTAGGCATATTCTTTTATATATTTGATATAACACAAGAAGACATTTCCCAGATATTTCTGGAAGGTGTAGAGTATTGTGAAGGAAGCACAGATCTGCTGGTTAGAAGGTGGTCTCTATCCTCAAGGGGCCACGTAGCTGCCACAGATGTCACTGGTGCTCATAATCCGGTTTACTCCACCTGCTGCTTTGGGATCTTCAGAGGCCTGTTCACCCAGAGGACCGCACTGAGCATGCCCAGCAGCAGGGGCAGCTTCAGAAAAACCAACAGCAGGAAGTGGACGCTGCTCAGCAGGGACCTGTGGGAGAAGCCTTGGTAGTGAGCTCCTGCCCCAGGGAGAAGAGGGCTGTGCTCTGCCCTCCACCCCAGCCCACACGCAGGGCCTGTGTCCAGTGATCCACACGGGGACCCAGGCTGCACAGCACGGCCTGCAGGAAACGCCTCTGTCCCTGATTGACAGCCAAAGCAGGCCCCTGAACTTGGGACTGTGGATGTAGGTAGGAAGTGGCCATAAGAATGATGTGAAGGGACCCCAGGCCTCCAGGAGGGACCTGTGGCCAGGAAACAATGAGCCCTCCACGTTTGGGAACTGCTCTGAGGGCTCAGGAGTTAGTGATATGGTTGTGAAAGTCTCTCTCCACACAGCATTTCCCATGGGGAAGGGGTCTCATCTGGTCTTTTTGTTTCCTGGGCTTTTCTAGTGAGTAGTAGGGTTTTGAAGTAAGCACCTGCTGCATTCTCGGGCAGGCAATCTATCACTTGAGCCACCCCTCTGATCTTTTTGTTGGTTTTTATATGTATTAATATATACAGTAACTCAGACAGTATATGCATGTAACCAAAGTGCACACCTCCCTACATGCGTTTAACGAGCTGTGATTATATTCATCCCCTCTGTGTCTCTTGATCATGTTCACAACCAGGTGGTGGGTGCTGCACAGCATCTCAGCTGCTCAGGGGTTGATGGAGGATCTGCACTGGGTGTGAGTCAGGCAGCAGGCTCACATCCTGGTGTCTGCAGAGGGCATTCGCATAGAAAACTGTCCCCAGACTCCTAGGGCCTGGGCTCCTCAGCCCTGTGGGCCTCCACTCAGGTGACCTCTAACCAACCCAGCCTCCTCTGTGCACAACACCCTCCCAGCATCCTTCCCTCATCCTGTCCCCACACCCAAGGGACAAACACTTCCTGCTGCATGCTGGGTTGCTGTGGTTGCCTGGTGACGTCTGCGCTGATTTGTCCCTCTGTGGATCCAACTGGGAGAGCACAGGCTCCAACTCAGCAGGACGGGGCTAGGGGACTACTGAGCAAGCACTCTCCTAAGAACAGCAACTGCCACTCAGGGAGCTTCTCACACTTAGGGGTGGGATTAGCAAATGCAGGAGGGGCTGAGCAGGGGGAGACACAAGCCCCCTTCCCCCACCACCCAAAGGCACAGGTCCAGTGGCAGGCTCTTACCCAGGCTGTGGGCTGGGGCTTGGCATGGCCTTCCTTGTGGTGCCTGACCCCTTTGGTGGAGGCTCCAGGGTGGGAGGCCTCAGGGTGGGAGGCTCCAGGGTGCTCCTGTTGTTCTTGGAACTGGAGGCTGTGGTCAGGTGAAGCACAGGCAGTTTCAGGGACCCCATGCTTGTCTCAGTCCTCACTGGGCTTTGCCGCTCTGATTCACACATCCAGGTTCCCTGGGGCATACCAGACAGGGGTCCCAGGGCCAGTGAACTCCCTGGACACACCCAGGGCTGACCAGCTGCCCCCTCTAGCCACATGTAAAGGCGCACTGGCCACGTTCAGACGGGAGCACTGTCTTTCTTGGCAGGACAGTTTAAGCATCTTGAAAAGACAGTGTTGACAAGTCTCACACCTCTGCTCCGAGCTACTCAGGAGGCTGAGATCTGAGGATTGAGGTGTAAAGCCACCCTAGGCAGATACATCCAAGAAACTCTTTTTGTTGTTGTTGTTGTTGTGCGTTGTCGGGCTTGAACTCTGGACTTGGGCACTATCCCTGAGCTCTTCAGCTCGAGGCTAGCACCCTACCATTTGAGCCACAGAGCTACTTCCTGCTTTTTCTGTTTATGTGGTGCTGAGAAATTGAACCCAGGGCTTCATGCATGCGAGGCAAGCGCTCTACCACTGAGCCACCTTCCCAGCCCTCCAAGAGACTCTTACCCAACGTTTACCCCCCAAATTTCAGAAATGGAGCTGGGGCACAAGTGGTAAACAGCCAGCCATGAGTAGGAAAAGCCAAGTGAGAGTACAAGTTACTGCGTTCTAGCCCCAGGACTGGTATAAGGAGAAGGGAAGTGGGAGGTGGGGCAGGAGGTACGGGTAGGACAAGGAAGAAAAGGAGAGGAGAGGAGAGGACTGGACAGGAGGAGAGAGGAGAGGAAAGAATTGAGAGGAGAGGAGAGGAAAGCAGAGGAGGGGAAACTATTGGTTTCATCTAGCCAGAGGCATGCCTTTCCCTTCCTCCTCCTCCACTCTGCTTGGTGTCTACTGTGCAAACCCTGACCCAGAATAACTGGGGTTGCTGGTGCCTGACGCCAGGCAAATGGCTTCAAAAGAGAGCCTGGCTGGTCAGTGGGGCCACACAGATCGACAGCACCCTGTCCACACCTCCCTGTCCCCCGCTGTTAGCCAGGCTGGGGGCCCTAGCACCCACTGCATACCTCCCTCCAGAGGAAGTGGCCAGGAAGAAAATTCTAGAAAGACACCTGTTGGAGCTGGTGGCCAGTAGGACAACAGCTTTGCCCTTCAGAGACCCAGAGACATTGGTGGGGTTGTAGTTTCTTACTCTTCAGTATGAACTATAGTGTGGGAGGGAAACCTTCATGCTGGAGAGACTGAAACCCAGAAGCAGGATTCTGAGGAACAGCATTATAGCCCCAAGGCCAGCCTGGACCCTTCTCTTGGAGTTAACCTCCAACAGAATGGAGGCGCCATGCAGGAAGAGTTGGCTGCAGTCATGGAGTCCTGCAGTCTGCAACAGCCAGGAGCCCGTGTCTAATCTTTGCCACTTGTCCCCCTGTCTGAGTGGAGGTACTGGACAGTAAAAGTGCCAGGGAGAGAGGGGACAGGTCATCCTGGAGAGGCAGGGCAAGCTTCCTGCAGGGAACAGGAAACCCAATGATTGTCTGAGCAGCTTCCTCCTGTGTCCTGCAGAGCTCACTCAGGAGTCCCATAACCACTGTGGGGAGGCTGGGGTCTCAGGAGCCACAGGGCAGTGGAGTCTACTCAGACGGCCTTTGATAGAGGGGAACAGAAGTCCTGGAGTCCTGTTCCCACCAGAAGACAGGGTTGTTCCGCTACCCCCTCTGCCCCCTCCCCACACTCCAGAAAGGACAAGGCCCTCCTCAGGCCAGAAAGGCAGTTAAGGATCAAGTAGTCAAGACCACTGCCTCTTCCCTGCCCAGGAGGTGTTCAGGCCTGAGTCTGTCAGTTGGCTGTACAGAGGGTCTTGAGTAAAACAGGTGCTCCACTATGCCTGTGGACACACATACATATACACACAGACACACACATACAGAGAATGACTCCCAGGCTCTGATCTGATTACTCCCCCAGCTTTTCCCACCTGAGCCTCTGTGGCAGCCCCAGTGCTGGTAGGAGAGGGACTCACCTGGGAGCACAGACACAGCAACCCGGAAGTAGTCATCCGGTCCTTCATGCCAGGGTGTACCAATCCCACACCAGTAAGAGCCTGTGTCCTCCAGAGAGAGGTTCTTCAAGGTCACAGTGAAGGTGAGGTCCTCAGGATGGTCACTGATGGACATTCTGCCTCTGCTCACTTCTCTCTCTGAGTCTTTGGTGTCCACAGTATTCCGACATCGTCCTAGCACACGTAAGCTTCTGCACCAGTATTTGTTATATGTCTTGTATTTCTCCTCATACCAGAACTGCAGGCTCAGGGATCCGCCCTGGGTGCCTGTCACTCTGCTGGGGCCTCTCAGAAGACAACAGCCTGGAAAACACAAGCCCCAGTTCTGGGCCTTCACAGATGGGCAGGGTCAGGGCCTCCAAGCCAGATCACCCCTTTGCACCACTCCAGCAACCCAAAAGGTTGACCCAGCAGTGTCTCCCCTCAGCCTCAGTCCCCCAGAGTCCTCACCCTGCTTTCACACATGCTGCCCCTCCCCCAGCAGCCACCACAAGCCCATCTGGTCCCACTGGGGGAGAGGAGCCAGACCCAAGCAGGGAGGCCTTTTGTTTAGTTGTGCGGATCTGGCTGCATGAACTCTGGGCCTCAGCACTGTCCTTGAGCTTCTATTCCTCAAGGTGAGTGCTCTACCACTTGAGACAGCACCACTGCCAGCTTTTTTGAGTAGTTTATTGGAGAAAAGAGTCTCATGAACTTTCCTGCCAGGACTGGCTTCAAACCATGATCCTCAGAATTCAGCCTCCTGAGTAGCTAAGATTACAGGTGTGAGCCACAGACACCTGAGCAGGGTGGCTTTTTTGACAAGGGCAATGCACACAATTGATTAGGGTGTGGGTCAAAACAGTTCTGAGTGCAGGGCTCAGTGACAATATCCCTCATTCACCCAGACTCAACTCAGCTGGCCCAGATCTGCTCACTTAATTTTCAAGTAAGCTTTCTTCCTTCCTTTCTTTCTTTCTTCCTTTTTTCCTTTCTTTTTCCTCCCTCCCTCCGTCCCTCCCTTCCTTCCTTCCTTTTTTCTTTCTTTCTTTCTTTTTCCTCCCTCCCTCCCTCCCTCCTTCCCTCCCTTCCTTCCTTTTCTCTCTCTCTTTCTTCCTTTCTCCTTTTCTTTCTTTATTTTTTTGGTGTGTGTGCTATTACTGGTGCTTGAACTCAGGGGCTACGTGTTCTCCCTGAGTTTTTTTTGTTCAAGGCAGATGGTTCTATCACTTAAGCCATAGCTTCACTTCCAGTTTTCTGGTGGTTAATTGCAGAGAAGAGTCTCATGGACTTTCCTGTCTGGGCCAGCTTTGAACCATGATTCTCAGATCTTAGCCTCCTGAATTGCTAGGATTATAGGCATGAGCCACTGGCCCCCAGCTTAAGCTCATTTTTGGTTGCCAATATTCTATCTGCCATTTTCCCTAACACTTATCAGACACAAAGCTGGCAGCTAATGCTGCCCCCCAATCAGGGAGCTGGGAGCTGGCCTTGGGATGGCCACACACCCAGCTGAGGCATGGCTGTGTGTCTGTCCTCCTGGGACCCTTGAGAGGCCCTGTCATCAGAAATGGTGGGGTCCACTCTTTACCTAGGTTGGAATTCTTTGGAGTGGGGCAATCCTGAGGCTTGAACTCAGGGCCACTCATTTGCAAGGCAAGTACCCGAGTACTCTACCACTTAAGCCTCAATGACAGCCCTTTGTCTTAGCTTCTTTCTTTTGTTTTTAGATTTTTTTATTGCTATTCTAAAGGTGGTATACAGACGGGTTACAGGTACATAAGTCAGGTAGTAAGTACATTTCTTTTTGGACAATGTCACCCCTTCCTTCAACCTCTGCCAGTTTTTCCCACCTGTACTTGCTGCTTTGGTTATTTTTTATATAGGTTATTCTTACATTTGTGCCCCTGTCATCCAGCGAGCCTCCTATTTATACTTCTCCTGGGATGACAGGAAAACACAACCATACCCAGTTTTTCACTGTTTAAGATGAGGTCTCAATAACTTTTTTTTTTTTTTTTGCTTATGTGGTGTTGAGGAATTGAACCCAGGGCCTCATGCATGCAAGGCAAGCACTCTACCACTGAGCCACCTTCCCAGCCCCTCAATAACTTTTGATTGCCAGGCACTAGTGGCTCATGCCTATAATCCTGGCTACTCAGGAGGCTGAGGTCTGAGGATTGAGGTTTGAAGCCAGTCAGGAAGGGAAATCTGTGAGCTCTTATCTTCAATTAACCACCAAAAAGCCAGAAGTGGAGCTATAATTACAGTGGTAGAGCACCAACCTTGAGCAAGAGAGAGTCAAACAAGAGCAAGAATCTCTGAGTTCAAAATGGGCAGAGTTAGGGGGAAAGGCTGGCTTCCTAGCTCTAAATCAAAGAAATTCTAGGATTTAGTCCAACAAGACAGCAGGACGGTTTGAGGAGTCTGTGGTAAGGAGGACTCAGAGACCACTCTGAGGGAGGAGGCTTTGTCCTTAGCCGGACTCCTCTACCTTTTCTCTTCATGAAAGTCTCCCCCTTTGCTCTGCCACCTGTTTCCTTCCCCAGCCCCATCTCCCTGCTGGTGGGACAGCTGATCTATGGCCCTCCACAGAACCCCTGTCTCATGTCTGCCACCCTGGCTGGAGCTGCTTAGCTGAGACTGAAACCTTCTTTCCCTGTCCCCACCCTTCCTCTTACACTCCAAATCTGGTGACCCACAGGCACCTTCCCCAAACACATAGCACCTAGGTGTCTGTTCCTGGCCACTCTTCTCCCAGGCTGGGGGGACCTGGATACATTCCCCTCCCCCCCACCTCTTCATGGCCCCCACTCTGCCCTGCCCCACACCGGGGTACATCCAAAGTCAGAGGCACCCTGGCCCTTCCCTCCCAGGAGTGAGGCCTTCAGCCAGGGTGTGTGGACAGAGGAGCCCAGGCTTGAATGCCTCACGTGATATCTCCCTACAGCCTCCCCCCCCTCCTGCCCTCCTTCCATCTCCTGCCCCCACCCCACCCCCAGGAAGAAGATCCCTCACCTGGGAGCCAGAGAAGCAGCAGATTCAAAGGCAGCCACACAGCCAGGGCCCAAGGGCTCATTTTTCCCCCTTCAGGGCTGCCACGCCAAGACAATGGTGGACCTGGGGCCCCTCTGGGTTGGGCCAGTCCCCAGGCCTCCAACTTCTGCTTTTTCTCCTGGCTATTTCCTTTAGGGCTTCTTTCAGCTCTGTTCCTGAGGCTCATGAGAAAATGGAGGAGAGGACCCCAGGGTTGTGGGCAGGACCCAGCGGTGCCCAGAGCTGAGAACACCCTTCTGGGGTTTCTTCTCTCCTTCCCTCCCAAATCTCACAGGTCTGTTCCCCCATGTTCAAGACATCCTCAGAACTGAAGGGCAGGATTTCCTTCTGGTTGGCACCCAGCTTCCCTGTAATTGGCATGGCAGCTCTGTGGAAGGGACTAGCAGAGCCGTGGTCCCTGGGCAGGGCCCACCCTGCAGTGCCACCCTGAGGCCTTCAGCAGAGCTCTCCTCCCTGGAGCTCCATCTCTAGGTCTGTTTCCCCTGAGTTAGCACAGTGGCCTCAGGACCCATCAGTGGTGCCTGGTCTTGGATGGATGATCTTAGTTCATCTGGATGGTCCTCAGGAAGACTGTGACCTTCATTCTGGTGTCCCCAGTGGACCTGGGCAAGAACCCATTAATCATTTTTAATTAATTAATGTGCCCAGATTGTTTTCAAACCTCCTTACATCTCAGCCTTCTGAATAGCTAGGATTAGAGCCATGAGCCACTGGGCCCCAAGACATGGCTGCTGAGGGACTGAAGTACTTCTTACCTGTGGCTCCCTCTCGCCCCAGCAAGTCCTTTTTTGCCCTTTACCAGGTCTCTTAAGGGAGTGGCTGGATGTGCCAGTGGAAGCCCAGGATTAAAAAGATTATATGCCTTGATCAAGTTGATTTTATTCCAGTAATGCAAGGATGGTTCAACAAACTGAAATTGATAAACCTAACAGCAGGTTAATATAATAAAGGACTGAGACTGGGAATATGTCTTAGTAGTAGAGTACTTGCCTTGCATGCATGATACCCTGGCTCCATTCCTCCATACCACATGAACAGAAAAAGCTGGAAATGGTGCATGGCTCAAGTGGTAGAGTGCTATACTTGAACAAAAAAAGCTCAGGGACAGTGCCCAGGACCTGAGTTCAAGCCCAGGACTGGCAATAAAATAAAATTAAATAAAGGAAAAAGTCACATACATGATCATCATCTCAATAGATGAAGAAAATGCTTCTGACAAAATTCAACATCATGAACTGGGCACTGCTGATTCACACCTGTAATCCTTGCTACTCAGAAGGCTGAGATTTGAAGATCAAGGTTCAAAGCCACGCAGGAAGCTGGGTGCCAGTGGCTCATTACTATAAGCCTACCTGCACAGGAGGCTGAGATTTAAGGACTGCAGTTCAAAGCCAGCCTAAGCAGGAAACTCAGTGAGACTCTTACCTTCAATTAATCACAGAAAAAGCCAAAAGGGGAGCTGTGACTCAAGTGGTAGAGCACTAGCTTTGAGCAAAAGAAGCTCAGGGACAGCACTCAGGCCAGAGTTTAAGCCCCAGGACGAGCCCCTCCCAAATAAAACAAATCCACCCATAATGGAAAAATACTACAAGAGACTCTTCAATTAACCAGCAAAAATCCAGAAGTGAAAGTGTGGCTCAATTAGTAAAACATTAGTGTTGAATGAAATTGAGTGAAATACCTAAGCAAGAACTTGGAGGACCCAAGTACCAGCACACACACACACACACACACACACACACACACACACACACACACAGACCTCTCTCTAGGGGAGGGGATGGGCCTCTGCTTTCCCAGGCAGTAGTTGCTGAAGCTTGGGCTCTGGGGTCTGTCTGGCTCCTGGCTGATAGCAGATGAAAACCAGAGGTTTTATCAGATGCCCAGCAGATCATCTGGCTTTGTAGCCAACCTGATATTGTCCACTCACTGGACCTCTAGGTAGGCAGGCTGCTGCTCTATTTTCTACCTCTGCTGAGCTGTCCCTGGGGTGGGGCTGGTATGGGGCTACAGAAGTAAGGATGTAGAAAACACCTGCTCATTTCACCTGGTGGGCTGAGAAGACAAAGGCAGGGAAGTGGATCTTAAGCTTCCCTGGTTCCTCCCGCCTCTTTAAGGTTGGGGTTTTCACCAATAAACTCTGGGCTAGGGACTAGCACCCCAAGACTCTCAGCTAGTGAGAACCCTTTCTGAGGACATGTTTTAGCCACAGGGGAAGGGACCCAAGAATGTGACTCTAAACCCTTCCCAGGATTCTTGCTCTTAGGAGAGGAGGAGGCTCAACTTTCTTCATGGGCCATCTAGGGGTCAGAGTGTGTGAGTATGAGTTGAGGTGGTGGTTAACAATTGAAGCAGAAACAGCCCTGTGCTGAAGGGGGCTCTGGGGTAGAGCACAAAGAGCACAGGCCGAATGCCACTTCCTAGTCAGGCTAACCACATCTCTCTGTAAGGACATTGACAGCGGTTTCAAGCCATACACATTAGAATGTTGTGGTGATGTTATGACTGGGCTGTGCCTTCCTGAAATCCCAGCACCTGGGAGGCTGAGGCAGGAGGATTGTAAGTTTGAGATCAGCCTGGATGACAGAGGAAAATAAAAACCAAGCGAATAAATGAAATATAATCCTTTGGAGAGTTTCTGAGAAATACACATGCCTGAGCCATGAGGAGTTTCCCTACCCAAGTGCACCCCCTGCTTTTCACTGGTGGCTGGGTGGAGCCCCAAGGAGGAGGGAGGATAGGAGAAGGGGGGAAGGAGGCTGCAGATATAGGGAACTCCTCTCTCTAGATTCTGGATCACACACACACACACAAAAATAAAATAAAAATCTGCCCAGAAAAGGAAGGGACCCTTACAGAAACATAAGTTGGTGCCTATGGGACCTGGTGTCCAGCAAGGGCCAGCTGGCTTGGTCTGAAAATGAATAAATGAACCCATGAATAAACACCAAGGGTGATGATAAGCAAGGACTCAGTAGATCTGGGTCCCATTATGGGGCTTTACTCCCTCCCCCTGCCTGGGACACGCTGTGTGTGGCCTTGACTGAGTTACTGTCCTCTCTGAGCTTCAGCTTCTCGACTTGCGCATTGGAATAATGATTGTAGCGCCACTCCACAGTATCCATATTCCATGAAGGTATGGAGGGGTCAGGTCCACGCCTTTCGATGTCTCCTGCACCCAGCCATGTTCATAGCGATGCATGAAGTCCTCATCTTACACCCCCGAAGAGGACAGTGCAGCCTTCTCCTTTCCTCTAACAGGACAGCCATGTCCCACAAAGGCCCTTCCCTTCCCTAAACCTGCTCGGGACCTTACCCCACCTTCATTTGACCCCATACTTGGTTGCTACACATCAGATCTTTCCAATGCCACCTGAGACACTGCCATATGCATTGTATCCACCAGGTGGCACTCAATGCCCAGGCCCCATTTATTTGTGTAACAAATAGTTCATAGCTCTCCCTGTTGTGCCGGGCACTGGGCCCAAAGATGGGGACTTAGAGATAAAAATGCAACAATTTCTCCTCTCCAGGAGTTCATGGTTCAGTGGGAAACACATAAACAAAGACAGGAAAACACAGGATTCCCTTAAAAGGTAAGAATCACTGCTGAGGTCAAGGCCAAAATCCAAGTGGTCAGATTGAGGCAGAACTGGGCCTTGCCTATCAGGAGACACGAAAAAATGGCAGAGGAGAGGCTTAGTACCTAGTGAGCAACAAGGAGATAGCAAGACTTATGATCTAAAATCTTCCAAGGTTGTGCTAAATTGTATAAAATATTTATCAAAATGAACTCCAGGAAATGGATACAAGTTGTTTGGTTTTTTTTTTTTTTTTTTTTTTGTCAGTCATGGGGCTTGAACTCTGGGCCTGGGCGCTGTCCTTCAGCTTTTCAGCTCAAGGCTAGCGCTCTACCACTTGAGCCACAGCACCACTTCTGGTTTTCTGGTCATTTATTGGAGATAAGAGTTTCATGGACTTTCCTGCCTTGGCTGGCTTTGAACTGTGATCCTCAGATCTCAGACTCTTTAGTAGTTAGGATTACAGGTGTGAGCCACCAGCGCCTGGCATCAAGTTTTGTTTTTTTCTTTGTTGCTGTTTTTGTTTTCTTTTTGTCTTGTTTGCTCCTTTTCTGTCCTTGGGAAGATAAGGGGGACACAGAAATGGAGGGACAAAGAGTAAACAAATACAGCAGTAGTGCTCACTAGACACTACGTTGAAAATGAACTAGACAGCTTGTGAGTGGGGATGGCAGGGAAAAACTAGAAGAGAAGGAGGGAAGGGGTGACATTGTCCAGAAAGAGATGTTCTCTGCAACTCCTTTTGTACATCATCTTTATAATGAAATAAGGAAACTGGGTCTAACTGGGCCCATCCTGGCAACATGGTGGATGATAGGGAATTTCCAAAGACTCTGGAGGAGGAGTCCCATCCCCAGGCGCTGGGCATGCCCGAATTCCTAGAGGCAGCGGCGGGGACTTGGACAATAGGTTATTGGAACTGCCAGACCTAGACCATGAACTCACAAGACTCTGAACCCTTGAGCTCCCTGTGACCCTGCCCCCTGACCATGACCCTATTTAAGTCCCTCCACCACCACCACCACCTCAGCCTCATTTCACACCCTCCTCCTAGCTCTCCTCAGGTCAGCATGGCATCCCTCTCCAATTCTCCACGAGGGTTTGTTGAGATTGTTTTTCTGCTCTTTCTTTACTACCCTCGTGGCTCAGTTTTCTCACAGTGTGAAGTGTGTTTGAGGCTGCAAGTCTCTCGGGGAACGTGTCCATTTGCAGTCACTGGCTTTCTAATCAGGATTCCCAATTCGGCCTCTCAAAATGTGGCTTCTCTGTATCCTGAGATTGAATTCCCTCATAACAATAAAAAGTATATATATATATATATATATAGAGAGAGAGAGAGAGAGAGAGATGAAGTGAGATCATTATCTGACTTATGTAACTATAACCCCTCTGTACATCACTTTTATGACTATTTTAAAAATTAAAAAAAAAGTTATGCTAATAAAGACCAGTTGGGGGCTGGGCTTGGTGGTACATACCTGTAATCCCAGCTGCCAGAGGCCAAAACATAGGGACTTCTTTAAAAAAAGAGAAAGAAATAGAGGAAAGAAGAGGAGAGGAGGGGAGGGGAGGAAAAGGGAAGGAAG